GAACTTTCTGAGAGAATTCTGGATGATTGTGTTGTTTTCACATAATTTATTGATGATTACCGTCATTATAGATAGAATTCTAGTTTACTAAAACTGAAATCAACAAGTACTGAACCATAGGAATGCAAAATGCCAAGAATTTAAGAACATAATTTGTCAATACCTAACTGTTCTGGGAAAACATTTGAACAAATAATTTATCAATAATCATTGAATTCAGCAGTCTGTTCAGCAATATTATCATCTTGCAAACTTTATGAACTACTTCCTTGTCTGACTTGGTGTAGCTCAACATATTCTCATTGGTAGCCTAGTTACTGCTTGCCTTGCCAACTTTGACATAGAAGCTTCTGACTTTGTTTCTGAATCACTAGTAGTCACAGTCTTGACATTACTGTACCCTAAACGAATTTCTTTTTGGTAACAAGAATATCTTGAAAATGGGTTTGATAAAATATTTTTTTTTACCTACATTGTTAAGCTCCTGATATAGAATTTAGACCAAACATCAAACAAGCGGTTGCATTTTCTTTAAGAATTGCTGGAGAGACAAGCTGATTGGTGGAAGGATGGAACCTGATCTTAAGGTAGACCAGGCCGTTTTTTTAAGTGAGGAAGGATGAAATGTTTGATGAATTTTTAAGCATGAGGAGGAAGATTGTGTTGATAAACTTTTTCGCCAGCATTTGTCAAGTTCTTGAAAGGGCCAAAGAACTTGGGAGCTACCTTCAAGTATGTTCTTAGCTATAGAAATATTATCTCCAACTCAGAGCCCTTCTCAATTCTGTGCCAATTAGCAAATTGCTTCATCCTGTTTTTGGCCCTCTGTGATGGTCTTTCAGCAACTGGATTATATTTGTAGAGTGCTTAAAGGTGGTCATATTCAAGTTAAGAGTAATAGGCAGAGTTACACCACCATTCTTCTAAATTTATCCATGAACTCCTTTTAATTAGGCATCTTAAAGGTCAATAATTGTAGACAGACTTCTAAACCCTTTGGTTGTGCCATCAAACTGTGGGTGATGTGTCAAAATTAGATGCTAGGGAGTTTACACAATGTGGGAGACATCTTGCCGAAAGACACAATAAATTATTGTCTCTCATTAACTATCCTTCGAGGTAAGTTTGCAGCTGTAGACATGATCCTGCAATAATTTGCCCTCTTCGATTTCTGTAGATGGAAGAGAAAGCGGCAGGACCTGAGCAGATTTGTTAAAATGGTTTGCCACCACCAAGATGGTGTCTTTTCCTTCTGGCTTAGGCAATTTTAATATACCCAAACTCAACAGGTTAATGATACTTATCTGTTGGAGGGAAGTGTTTAAACAGCATTGCAGCAAATGTTTGAGATTCTCCTAGTTTATTCGGGACAAAAGAAGTCTGCTCCAAGTACTCTCTTCTTTTTGTCGTTGCATGAAATAATAAGCCTGTACCAACCTGGTTTTCATTAAAAGAAAGATATTTTAGGAACTAAAGCCTTGATCGGGAAAACAACGGGACCTTTATCTTGCATCAGAACTGCCCCTATTCCATTTCTAGTTGCATCTTCCTTGTTGACAAAAGGGTTGGAAAAAAATAGAAGAGAAAGCACAGGGGCCGTTGGTGTACCTTGTTTCAAGGCAGAAAAAGGAAGGGAAATATTCTTAGTTCATTGGAAGTTGTTATTTTTCAGCTAATTATGAAAAGCTCGCTAATCGTGCATACCTTTGAAGGCTTTGGAAAGCCGCTTGGGGAATAATTCTCACCATCCACAACCTTATGAACAGTGGTAGACGCATGCTAACAGATGTTTTCTGTGCCAAGTAGAGAACACATCTCTAGGTCATATGGTGACTATAGAAGGCCCTGGAGTTCTGTTCTGAATTTGTATATTTTAGTTGTGTGGTTAGCGGGATGGTGAAGGTTGAGTTTTGGGCTTGAAGTGGTGTCTGCAAAGTACAAAAAAAAGCTTTTTGCTCTTATCCCTCTTATTACCTTTTGGGTTATCTGGAGAGCATTTAAGACTTCTTCCTCCTCTCAGGGGTTCATCTAGGATCGTGGTTTAGGACCTTCTGTTTTGTCTTAAGGGTCACCCTATTTTTCAATGAGTCTGATTTATTTGGCTTCATTGACCTTTTGTCTTTTGGTCCTATTTCAAAAATCTCTAGAAATGGGTGTCATCCCCTTGGTCCCTTTTTTAATGAATATTCATTTTCCTTTCAAGGAAAATCGATCCATACATTTGATAAACTTTCTACTATACACTGTCACCCCAAGGACTCCACACAGAACTTCTAGGGAGGTTGGAAGAGGCCAATCTGCGATTGCCTAAATCTTGGAGGGATCATTATGCTAGCTGCAAAGATTAGAAGCCTCAGATATTAAAATCTAATTTTGACCAAAATCACTTTGAGATTTCTTGGCTTACGATTTATAAGCTCTCGTAGTGCCTGGAATGCAGCCACTAAATGTTGCAGGTGCAGCTCAATCAATTAGACAAATATGTTATGGAAAAGTATTTGAAGGAGCTTCATTCACAAATCAAGCTAATGATCCATACAGCTGTTAGTCTGTTGTGAGTAGCCTATGCTCCTTGGACAGACGTTGGTGGTTGGCCTCCATCAACCTCATAAATCTCCATAAGTTGCAGTTTGCAGTCCCTTCACCTTCTCATCCAATTCCAGAAGTCGAATTAAGTGGTCATCAGTCAGTTCCTCTATCCTTTTGCACCAGCTTAACAAGAAATCTTGGGCATCCATGTTGTTGTCAACTTGGAATTTAAAGTTGACTTATGTTATGTCTAGATTGAAGCAGCCATCAGAACAAGCACCAATTTGGAGAAGCAGAAACTTAAGACTTACCAGCAGTGTCTTAATAGAACATTGATGATGTTGTCTACCACTCTTTGATTGTGGGAGGATTATGGTATTGTTTAGGCAATTACTCTATTCCTGTCACTTGGAAGTAGAAAGCAATGTTCTTTCATGTTGCGCCCTTATAAAACATTGGTAATGTTGTCTGCCGCTCATTGATTGTCGGGGAATCATGGTATTGTTACACAATTACTCTATTCCTGTAACTTATAAAGTAGAAAACGACGTTCTTTCATGTCTTACATCATGTGATTTGATATTTTTTTTTTTACTTGGGGGTATTTATGTTGCTCTCATAATCTTTTTGTGTGGGTAACTGTCTTGTACTTATTTAATTTTTTATTTTCTTTACTGATTTACTATTTTGGTAAACTACAAATCAAACCCTAAGTTGTTCTTGACAGTAGTAGTTGTTATTGGCTCACAGATAGTTGTACTTCTCAATGGGAATGCTATCTATTCTGCTATGCACAATGATAATCTGAAGTTTCCTATATAAAAAATTTTGTTGATTCCTACTGAAATGTTGATACAGCTTTCTTTTTCAATGACCTGAGGTTCCTTGGTTCCTTAGTTTCCATGTCAAATTTTGATGTGGTTATTTATCAAGTTGTTGCCAAAGCCACAAATGATTGCTGTATCTTTTTTCTGACAGCTGAAGTGGAGGCATGAGCTGAAAGCTAAAGAGCAGGCATTGGGCCAAGTGGAGGAGGAACGCCGCTCCAAGGAAGCAGCTGAGACCAGTAGTAAAAGAAAGCTTGAAACCTTGCGCCTGAAGATAGAGATAGATTTCCAAAGGCATAAAGATGATCTCCAAAGGCTTGAGCAGGAGTTTTCTAGGCTTAAAGCATCTGCACAGTTCACTGAATTGAACAGTCAGTTGAATACTTTATCTTCAGGAAAGGCAGAGGGGGAAAAGCCTCAAGGTGAAACAATTGCTAATCTGCTACATGAACTAGATAAGCTGGAGGATGAGACTGACAAAGGAGTCATATGTGATAGAGAATGCATTATTTGTCAGAAAGGATGAAGTCTCCATTGTTTTTCTGCCATGTGCTCACCAAGTAATTTGTGCCAGTTGCAATGACAATTATGGGAAGAAGGGTAGGGCTACTTGTCCATGTTGCCGGATTCCAATCGAGCAGCGAATCCGTGTTTTTGGTGCTACTTCCTAGTGTTTGGTCTTGGGATTGTTATGCATTACAATCTTCTGGAGGGTATACCTTTTTTCCTATCTTGCAATTTCTATTTGCTTGCTCTGGAACTTTGCATATATTAGCTGCAGACATGGTGCTGGTGCTTAAAGTAAAATCAGGATGTATGTAAATAAAAAAAAAAAAAAACGAGGTTTCTTTTATAGGCCCGCATGCTTTTGGATGAAAATAAGGGGAACTTGATTTGATTGTTATCGCTGTTGAAAACTAGGAAAAGAAAAGTCGGTACCATCAGCTGGGCTTTTTTCTCCTCTGTCAAAAGTGACATTTTATTGTAGACATTTGGAGCTACAGGTACAGCAGTGTATTCTTGATATGATAAGATGCTATTCACCAGAAACTGAAAAGTTTTTGTTCCCTACATGCACCTTATGTGAATCTTAATCTCTTTCTTTGACTACTTTTGAATGTTTGTGGTTTCTTACACTCACGTATGATTTGCTGTATTTGAGATGTGGTTCTTTTATCATCGAACCCATTTGCCTAGAACATTGGTGATGATGCCATAATTTTGATACATTCGTAGTTTCAAAAGAATGATCAATTCTCCAATATTACATTAATGTGTTAGGTTATGAATAATTTTCTGAATCTTTCATTTTGAAAATCTCTATAGCAGAATTTTCTATTTAAATCATATATGTTACTGGAATTCTGGTGAAATGTTAGGAGGAAGCCTCTCCCGCAACAGTCTGTTAGTGTTTTTGAATCTGAACTTCTGACATCTTAGTAAAGAGTTTTATGCTTGGAGCTAGCGGTTCCTGGTTAGGAATGATCATGGTTAAATATGTGCATGTGGTATGCATGGTAGAAATTAGCAAGAACAAGAGTATTAAAGCAAAAACAACGGGGAAAATGAAAGAATTGGAGGTATTAGTTGTTCGAAGTACAGAAATGGAAGGCCGAAGTAGCACCAGAAATTTTGCACCCAAAAATCAAAAGCACCATAGTCAACGAGGGTGTTGGTTCCTTGGTAGGTTTCTGTTGAGAGTTATTTATCTGTCCTGCGTCCTTATTTTATGGTGCAAGTTTTTGCAGCTTATAATTTGGCACTGCATTTGGATGATTAGGTTGACTGCAATGAGAATTTCAAATGTATAAAAAAATGGACCGTGATTAGATATAAATAGAATCGCTATTGATGACTCAATTTTAGTTGAAAAATAGTAAAAATTCTGTTCAGTTTACTAATTGATTTCTTAAATAACATTACAAAGATGCGGTTGTCAAAAAATGTACGAAGAGCAATATGCTTCATCCGACCATGAAAGGTCAGTTCAAATTGGCTCAGAAATAAAGTTATGCCTTTCTATTATCAATGAATTTTTGCTGGAGCTCCGTGGAACTGGTTGCTTATCTCCAGTAGGTAGATGTAGAAATATATGAAAATATACGTACATAACAAAATAGTTGTTTTATAACTAAACATGTACGAAATAGATACAGCAAAATCTAAAAATCTTTTCATTCACATGAAAAGAACAAGTATACCCTAATATGATCTACATCTACAGGATTCACACAAATCCTAAAATTTTTATTTCCCCAAGATTTCATTATATCATGTAAACTAAATTTTCCTATCATACACTAGAATAAATTAACTTTAAAATTAGTTGTAGTGGTTAAATTGTGCTGACTTTAAGGAGTGTAATGTATTAAAAAGAAGGTCATTGTAGAAAAGAAACCCATATGTGGTGATATGCAAAAGTGATTTAATAGAACAAATAAACGCCGCAAAGCAACAAAAGAAGACAGATATTTTAGTGGGAATTGAGCTTCTTGCCATATCCTGCAAAATGGCTTCTTATTCTATCATAACTCCTACATTCAGTTGCTTGAAGAAGAGCTCAGTTTCTAGTTTATTTGATTGGAAATTTGGCAAAAAACCAGCTGATCCAAAGCCGTCCCCCATTTACCATGACGTTGATCTTCCTTTCTCACCCTCTCTGCTTGACAAAACCTTCTTAAGAGGTACTTGTCTCTTTCGTATATCTTCTTCTCGTACATAAACATTGATTTACGTGTATGTACTTCAGTTCACTAGGTTAAAATAAACTGTAAAGATTTGAGTGTACCGGCGGGTTAGGGTTTGAGAGAAGATTGAAACGAGATTCAGGTGTATTTCAAGATTCAATTTGAAATAAATGTTTTATTTGTAATTTTTAAAAATTTTCTCTAGTGAATTCAAGATTCTTTTTTTTTTTTTTTTTTTTTTAATAAGAAATTATAAGTTTGGGTTGAATTATAAATTTCTGTGTGTTATTATTAAAAATTTCTATTATAATTAATGTGTATGTTTCGCATAATTAATGAAATCTATAAATTTTCACTTTAAAAAAAGATTTATCAATTGAAATAATAATTCATGAACAGGCAGGGAACTAAAATGCTGCTATAAGGCAAGCATAGATGGATTTAGCGCCACGAGATTCCACGAATGCTGTGATTTCAAGGGGCCATGTGTGATAATTGGATACACAAACCAATCATTCAAGTTTGGTGGATTTAACCCAGAAGGATATAGAAGTACAGATGATTACTACGACACCTTTGATGCCTTTCTGTTTTACTGGACAGCAACAAGATCAGAAGAAGAAACCGAACCAATTTTGCTTCCTAAAGTAGGAGGAAGTGGTGCAGCCCTCTTTGATTACGCTCGAGGAGGGCCACAGTTTGGGGCAGATGGGTTGCTCATTGGACCGCCATTATCACCTGTCATGGGAGGTTTTGCGGGGCCTGATACTAATTCAGGCGTTGGTGATTTGAGGCAAGCCAAGTCAAGGTTAGGTTTGTCATATGCCAAGAGACCAGATGGGAGAGTTTCCATTTTCGGAGATGAGTCCAGAGCTACTCTCCAACAAATTTTAGTCTTCTGCAGTTCTCAAATTGCAGCTCTATACTAATCATATTCTTTCTATATATGTATATATATAGGAATTCTAATTGTATAAGTTCATGGGAATGGAGCCTATAAGCTAAAAAAGCAATCTTTTCTTACGCCAAATAAAAATAGTAAAAAATATTGTAGGCATCAGCCGAAAGGCTCCGAGTCTCTTTATCAAAGCTGGACGAGAAACTTTTACACTTGGCAGAGACAACAAAGCAGACACACAGACTTTTTCACTCCATTTTCTCCACACACAAACACATACATATACACCCATATATATATATATCACTCCAAGAGCCAACGTTAGAAGACATTGTCTTGGAGACTACTTTCATTATACTAAGATTCTCTGCATTTGCAAATTGGGGCCTCTGTCTTTCAACGTTTGAACCCTGCTCTGATAAATTGCAGAATTACCATGAACTGGTATGATGATCATAACGCATCTCTTTATCCCCATAAAAGTCCATAAAGTTTATATATTCCGTGTAAGGTGACGTGCAAGCAATTTCTCCATTATAATTTGAGATGGGTTCCTGGTTTTCATATTGATGCCATTGATTCACTGAGCTAACTGGATTGAACTCATATGGTGGAAAGTATTCTGATGAAGCTTCTTCCACTTATGGGTAATCCTGCATTTATAAGTACTTACGTCTTAAGAAATCAAACCTCACAAAAAGATAAATTAGTGTTAATTAGTTGTTTAAAACACCTTGGAAGAATCAAGAATTAAGTCTGGTGACATCCACAAACTTGGGGGATTGCTGTCCGTACAAACATTTGCGGCTCACTGAAAAGTAAAAATGGTGGAGACGGCCGAAGAAGCACCAAAGCCAAACATCGCCATGAAAAGAGCTCTTTCTTATACTAAGCTGCATCGTCCTCGTCATTAGCAACTGTGGTGGGCCTCAAATAGTGAGACTCTACTTGGTTCATGGCGGCAAACGGGTCTGGTTATCTAGTTGGGTCCAAACTGCAGGTTGGCCCATTATACCTCTCCCTCTTGCCGTTGCTTACCTTCGCCGGTGCCAAACAACCCAACCCACCTCAGAATCCATTAATCCCACCTTCTTCATGACACCTCGTATGTTCTTCCTGGCGGCAATTTTGAGAGTCACCGTTGGCCTCAACAACTACATTTACGCCTATGGCATCACTTGTCTTCCTGTGTTGACTTTATCAGAATTTTTAGTGAATTTAGAAGTGTGTTTAGTAGAAAATACACATTAAACACCAAGAACTTGAAAGAGAAATTGATGTTTGGTAAGCCCGAAAGCGAGAGAAAATAGGAGCTTAAATTCTGGATTTGGAAAAATGGGATTTTATTGATAATAAAGATTTACAATGGTATTTATAGTGAGAACATAATTTAGAGCTATTTATTCTTTTATCCCTTCATTTATGACAATTACACATTTATCCACTCTAATAGGCGCCGGAGGATACTGGTTTTGAAGACCTAGCTTGACCAAAGTGTTCTGAAATGAAAAAATGGCAAGTGGCTTGGTAAAGCAATCTGCCAGTTGATGAGAGGATGAAATAGGTAATAACCGAAGCAAACCATCAATGATTTTCAGAATTTCAGCTATCAAATTGGATTTTTAGTTATCTTGATAGCTGATAAGTTGTCACAGTGCAATAGGGTTGTAAAAACAGAAGAAACATGTAAATCAACAAGCAAATATTACAGCCATTTGGCGTTCATAAGTGACTCGCAAGAGCATGATATTTTGCCTCAATTAGAGACCAAGACACAGTAGATTGTTTATTGGTCTTCCAGAGACAAGTGCATCACCAAGAAACAAACAAGATCCTGTAAGTGACTTCCTAAAGTCTACACAAGGAGTCCAATCAGACACTGAAGGATTTTGAGCTGTAAAGAATTCCTGAGCGGATAAAATAGACCCAAACTAGGAGTTCCCTTCAAATACCGTAATACTCGATGAGCAGCCTTCAAATGAATCTGATTAGGAGCATCGAGAAATTGAGATAGCTGTTGAACAAAAAATGTGATATCAAACTTGGTGTTGGTAAGGTAAAACAGCTTACCAACAAACTGCATGTAAGAAATAACATCCATACTAGAAGAACTATATGATTTAACCAGTTTTTTAGATGAAACCATAGGTATAGGTGCTAGTTTAGAGTATAAAAATCCTGTAGTGCATAGAAGATCCAGAGTATACTTCCTCTAATAGAGATCAATTTCTGCAAATGATTTGGCAACCTCAAGGCCTAAGAAGAACTTAAGCTCACCAAGGTCCTTAAATATGAAAACAATTATACATAAATTTTTTAATAGATTTAATCTGATCTATATTATTGCTTACTAAAACAACATCATCCACATACACCACAAGAATAACAAAAGTTGAATCTGTATGCTTAACAAACAGAGAAAAATCTAAATGAACTTGAAAAAAATGTTGGCTCTTTAAAGCTCCAGTCAGCTTAAAATTCCATTGACGATTGACTTGCTTTAAACCATATAAACATTTCTTCAATTTATATACCTGATTCCTGTGATTGGATTGGAATCCAGGCAGCAATGTCATATATACCTCTTCATGTAATTCTCTATGCAAGAAAGCATTATTAATGTCAAGCTGGTGAAGAAACTAACCTTTAATTGTAGCTGTTGATCGAAGGAGAATAAGCTTCAAAGGAGGCTCTGTGAATAAGAGAACTTAGAGAGAGAAAGTTGATGAGAGAGAGGGACAGCAAAATAGAGCAAGGTTATGCAACAGCCTCTGTTTTGCTGTTTTGAAGGGGCGTGCCTTTTTTGGAGAT